CAGTTAGAACTGAAGAAGCTTCTTGGATGTGTTTCCAAAGAAAAACCAAGAAAGTCCAGTTGGTTTTTGGAAAAAAGAACCTTTAAGTGAATCTTGACAAGATGTGTGGACTTCAACTCTCAAAAGCCCCCAGCCACTCATGAATTCTACAATGTTGCCAAGATTGAGAGACACCGTGTTATATTTGCTCATTACAGTTGCAAAAGCCGAGGAGGTCGGCATGCTAATTTTCTTCTCTCTCCTTCGCCTCTAACGTTGTTTGGGGAAAGGCCTCTTTCCCTCCTGTAACGACCTGCCACACTCACCTGCACAAATGCAAAATGAAACAGGACAGATGCAATGAAAAAAAGAAAAGAAAAGAAATAGTTGCCGGAAGACAGCTGGCAGGAGCTGCGCGCTTTGCATGGTGGGGCATGTAGTCCCGCGACCCGCGGGAGCCTGGCCGGCTACAGTGGCTGGAACTGCAAGTCCCGAGAGGTTTTGCTCTCCGCAACTGCAGTCCGCGCCCAGGAGCCCGGCGCGGGCGGTGCATCGGGGTCTATTGTCTTGGCATCTCCCCCTTCCCTCCTTCCTCCGTTTTCCCCGTCGGGGTTTTGCATCTTCCACGGCTGCATTGTGAGCGCAGCAGAATGGCTGATGAGCAGGAGATCATGTGCAAACTCGAAAGCATCAAAGAGATCAGGTAAGGGGGTTGCATAAAGATGCATCGCTTCGTCCCCTCCCTTTGGTCCCATTTTCACGGGGGCCTGTTTATGCAAGAAAAAGGACCATGGGGCGGGGCAGGGGAGTTCTTCCAGCCAGCCGAGGGTCTCTTCTTCCTCCTTCCCCAGCAGTATACCGCCGGCTGATTTTGCACAAAACACTGTCAGCTGCAAATCCTCTTTTCTCAGAAGAATCCAGTTTTGGGGGGACTGGCAACCCATTGAGCGAACTGCCCCGGCTGGGTTTCATACGACCAAAGGGTTATAAGCAACCTTGAAGATCTTCCAGAGATGCGGAGCTAACATGGTTCAAGCTAATCAAGGGAGCTGGGTCCCCAAAGTGTTTTTTCAAGAGGCAACTGGACTTTCTTGTTTTCTTTGAAATGTTTTGCTTCTCATTCATCATGACGCTTCTTCAGGCCCGACTGAACGGTGGAGAATATAAATCCTTCCATTCTCCACCATTCGGTCAGAATGGAAGAAGCTTCTTGGATGAGAAGTGAAACATCTTCTAGCCAAACAAGAAAGTCCAGTTGTCTTTGACCTTCATAGATAAGGGGGCTGTTTGTGAATGGAGTAGGGAGGGTGTGGAGCTTAACGCCCCTGGCAAAGAGCTTCTGGGGAAAACAGGCAGGGAACCGATCCACTCCAAAGTTGTTGAAGAACCCACTGGAATTGTGGAAGGAGACTTTGGGACATTTGAAGCTTGATAAGGAGGTTGTACAGGTAGTCCTCAACATATGACCACAATGGAGCCCAAAATTTCTATTGGTAAGAGAGACATTTGTTAAGTGAGTTTTGCCCCATTTTATGACTTTTCCTGCCATAGTTGTTAAGTGAATCACTACAGTTGTGAAATTAACAACACGGCTATTAAGTGAATCTGGCTTCCCCATTGACTTTGCTTATCAGAAGGACACAAAAAGTGATCACATGAACCCAGGACACTGCAACTGTCATAAATATGAGCCAGTTGTCAAGCATCTGAATTTTGATAATGTGCCCATGGAGATGCTGCAATGGTCGAAAGTGTGAAAGATTGTCACTTTTTTCAGTGCCATTGTAACTTGAAGCAGTCACTAAATAAACAGTTGTAAGTCAAGGACTACCCGTATTGTTGTGGTTTGGCCCTCCATTTGTGACTGAAGTTTGTAGGCATGGATCTTGTGAACAGTTTGCAAAGGGAAAGAGAACCTTTGTTGCGTTCTGTTTGGGTCAGTATCTGAGGGGAAACCTCTCAAAGCACAGATGGACAAGATGTGGGTAAATGATTCCTATTACAGGTAATCAATGACTTACAACAGCTCATTTAGTGACCATTCAAAGTTACAATGGCATTGCATTGCAATGGCATTGATTTATGTCCATTTTTCACACTTACAATCATTGTAGCATCCCCATAATCATATGATCAAAATGTGAACACTTGGCAACTGACTCACATTTAAGATAGTTGCGGTGTCCCAGGGTCATCTGCAGGGGTGGAATTCTACCGGTTCGGACCGGTTCAATAGAACCAGTTATTACGATTCTCCATAGTTTGGAGAGCCAGTAAATCGGGCCTCTGGCTGGCCCCACCCCCCTCCGCCTGCTTCTCCACTCCCTGCCCAAGACGTAGAATGTTAACTTCAAATAAATCTTTTTTAGTTTTGGAAGTGTGGCTCGAGGCTCATGATTTAATTGCAGTAACTACTGGAATCCTGACAGATAGCCAACTCTGAGATACATAATTCAATGTCATGGTAGAGCAGTATTTGAGGTGCTACGTGAATTATCTGCAGTCCAGTTGGGTGGACCTCCCGCCTTTCATGGAGGTCGGGTACAATAATGCTGTTCACAGTAGCACAGGACTAACCCCCTTCAAGGTAGTGAGCGGCATTGACTTCGTCCCAATGCCTGAGTATCCAAGGGGTCCCCCCTCTTTAGTCAGCCCGACCGATTGGATGTCAACGCTGAAAGCAACTTGGGAGAATGTCAAAAAAGTACTGGCAAAAGTGGCACAAACCTATAAGAGACAGGCAGACAGACACCGAGCCCCGCAATGACCATTCCAGTTGGGGGAGAAGGTCTATCTCTCCACCAAATATCTGAGGTTAAGTCTCCCTAGCAAGAAATTGGGGCCAAAGTTCATGGGACCATTCCCCATAGTAAAGATCATCAACCCAGTCACAGTGCAATTGAAGTTGCCCCGATTGTTAGGGAAAATACACCTGCTATTCCATAGTAGCCTATTAAAACCTGTGGTTGGATCAACACTAAGCCCCTATCTCGAGACCCCCCAGATCCCATCATAGGAGGCCAAGCCCATTATGAGTTGCAGCAAATCCTCGATTCGAGGTGGCACAGGAGACAACGCCAATATTTAATCAAGCGGAAGGGCTACCCCTTATCAGAGGCATCATGGGTAAAGAGTAGGAACGTCCAAGCCGATCGCCTTGTAGCAAGGTTCCATGCAGGAAATCCAACCAAGCCTGGGGGAGTTTCATGAGCATAAGCTTCCATATCTGCAATCAAATTGATTTTGTGTGTGTTGTACAGGTCACCTTCAAGAAGTGAGGGGAGCCGAATGTCAACTCATAAAACATTTTGTATACATGTTTTATAGTTGACAACAGAAAGAAGGGGTAGAGTTTCAAAGAGCAGGCAGCTGTGTGGAATCGAAAGTACATTCCATTCATATTTTCTTCAGAGACTGATTAGATGGCTGAAGCTTCTGCCGTGAAAAAATCTAATTGGAGAGCATGATTGATGACTCTTGGCTATGGATGTGTTTCGTTGGATGATACACCCAGAGGGGTGGGGGGGAAAGCAGGATCAAGGATGACAGTGAATTATGTATCTCAGAGTTGGCTACACCCAGGTTAATGCCGGACGTAGAATGTTAACTTCAAATTAGTTTTGAGAGTGTGGCTCGAGGCTCATGATTTAATTGGAGTAACTGCCGGAATTCTGACACAGTCCTTATCGTGCATGCGCAACATCACTGCCTGCAGCCTGCTTTTGCGTGCTTGCCAGGCCAGCCATTGCTGTCTGCCTTCCGCTGCAGCCCTGCCTGATCTCCCTGGGTGAGTGAGGCTCTACAAGCCCAGTCGCCTATCTGCCACTGCCGGTCGCCTTTCCCCCCACCAGTTGCCTTTTGCCGCCACTGCCTTGCCTTTTGCTGCCACCGCCGCCGGTCGCCTTTCTCCCACCACTTGCCTTCCACCAAGGAACACATGGAGAGGCTTGTGTAGGCTCTGGCCAGGTCAGCGGCTACTTTTCTCACCTGCTGCTCCAGCTGGGAGAGCAAGAGAGTCTTTCCCAGCACAGCAAAAAGCTTGCAAGTCCCCCTCCCATCAGGAAACAGCTCCCAGGCAGCAGAGAGAAGCAGGATTCAACCTGGCTGCTTCTCTGACAAGCCGTCCCAATCCTGAGGGGCCTCGGACTGCCCTTCCCCACATTCCTACAAAGGCAACAAAGCCACCCCCTTGATTTCCATCAGCTTCAGCTCCTGCTCATGGTCCTCTGGAGGCATGACAAAAACCAACAAAGTCCAGTTGCCTTTTGGAAAAAAGAACCTTTGGGACAACCATGACCTGGGTGACTGAGAATCTCCATAGACAGTCAACATGGTAGGTTGCAAATATGTAGAGCTTTACTCCATCATCACAATTACCATCCTGATGTCAGAACTACACCCTGAAGACCTGGTGGTTTGTAAAGCTAAGCTTCTCTTTCTCTCTCATTGCCAGACTCTCCGTCTGCAGTGAGATACAATCAAGTACCTTCTGGCGACCCTGAAAATGTCACCCAGCTTCTCTGTCTTCTCCATTTCTCTCCCCCCACTTCCCACCCCCAGAAATAAAACACTGCAGATGGAAAAGATCAAAGCTCGCTTGAAGGCAGAATTTGAGGCTCTGGAATCCGAGGAGAGACACCTGAAGGAGTACAAGCAGGAGATGGATCTCTTGCTGCAAGAAAAGATGGCCCATGTGGAGGAACTGAGACTCATCCATGCTGACATCAATGTTGTAAGTGGAGGGATGGGAAGAGATACAGTCACAGGGGACCTTGAGTGGGCAAAGAGGAAAAGGATTGAAGAGGTAAAGCCCTGTCTGGTTGCTATCAATTTTTATATAGATAGTTGTCAATTTACAAACACAACTTAGCCCAAAATTTCTAGTGTTAAGTGAGTGAGTGAATTTTGCTCCATTTTATGACCTTTCTTGCCACGGTTGTTAGGTGAATCACTGCAGCGGTTAAGTTAGTAATACAGTTTAAGTGCCTCTGGCTTCCCCATTGATTTTGCTTGTCAGAAGATCGCAAAAGGGGATCACGTGACCTCTGGATACTGAGCGGTCATAAATAGGAACCAGTTGCCAAGTGTCTGAATTCTGAATTCCTCGTTTTAGTGACCTCGGAAGGATGGAAGGCTGAGTCAACCTGGTCAGGATTGAACTCCTGGCTGAGGGCAGGGTTAGCCTGCAATACTCCATGCTAACCACTGTACCACCACAGCTCCTGGGTCATGGGACCTTGGGGTTGCTGCAACAATTGTATGTGTGAAACATAAGCCACTTTTTTCAGTGCCATTGTGACTTTGGCCACTAAATGAATTGTTGTAAGTTGAGGACACCTATATTCTCAAGGTGACCCTTCTGTGTTTTCCAGAGTTTCCTGCCAATTGACTGTAGCTGACTGAAAACTCTGGAGGTTGCAGTTCTAAAGCACACTAAACTGGGCGGGAGGGGGGATGTGTGTTTTTCAGCCACATCCTCCTTTTTCTGTGTTTCTGTACCCAATAAGATAATCCTCTTCAATATTTTTCTGCTGTCTGGAACATTTTACATGAGAAAAAAAGCCTAGCATTAGAGGGAGGCCAAGGGTGGGATTCTACCAGTTCGCACCTATTCGCTAGAACCGGTTGTTAACATTCTAAGCAGTTCGGAGAACTGGTTGTTAGAAGAAATTATTGGCCTAATCCTGTGAGGAAGGCAGGAAGGAAACATTCTGGTGTTGCTTACAGAAACTGCCTCTCTGTTAACCCTTATTACATTCTTGGCAGGACTAGACTTCCTGTCTCAGGAACCTCTCTTGAGTTATTTTTCCCTCCTTTGCTGGTACTTTGCTTGTGTGGAGTGACCATTCAAAGTTACAATGGCATTGAAAAAAGTGACTTATGACTATTTTTCACACTTACGACTGTTACAGCATCCCCACAATCATGAAAGGCCAGGCAAGGAGATACATGCCTCGATGTGAGTGATATTGAGTTGGCCATGCCCAGCCAATAACATGACCACCAAGCCATGTCCACCCAGTCACATGACCACCGGGCCACACCCACCAACTAAGCCACGCCCACAGAACCGGTTGTTAAAAAATTTGAATCCCACCCCTGAGGGAGGCCACCATGATCACCCTCAATGACCTCAGGTTGGAGGATGGGGACTAGCCGTTAAGGTACGAGGGAGAGATCTGCTCAAAGACTGGATTTCCTGCTTCTCTTCCAGATGGAGAACACAATCAAACAGTCTGAGAATGACCTGAACAAGCTCCTGGAATCAACACGCCGTCTGCATGAGGAATACAAGCCTCTCAAAGAACATGTGGATGCTCTGAGAATGACTTTGGGTTTGCAAAGATTGCCTGATTTGTGCGAAGAGGAAGAAAAACTTTCTCTTGAGTAAGTTGCGAAGACACTGACCATAATGTTCTAAAGTCCATTTCTAGGTCTGCTAGAAGTACAGAGGGGAAAGTGAAGAGGACCATGGATGCATGAAAGAGTATATTGGGAGTACCGATAAAGAAGAGTACTTGTAGCTCATTGTTGAAATGAGTGGTCCTTGGTGCTTTTCTTGCAGATGTTTCATTACCAAAGTAGGTAAAATCAATGCTGGACTGTAGCACACTGATGATATTATCTAGGTCTGCAAAAAAACAGCCAAGGACCCCTCAGTCATCATCATCCTTCTCCAACTGACAGCGTTACCTACTTGGGTAATGAAATATCTGCAAGAAAACAACCAAGCTCAGAGAGCACTAAGGACCCCTCATTTCAACCCTGAGCTAAAAGATTCTCCTTTATTGAGACCAAGAAATGGATTTAGCTGTTGTGGGTGATTCACATCAACTGCTGTAATTATACCCCCAACCCCCATCTTTCCCCCACATTTCACAGAGGGAGACAGGATGCTCCAGGGAGAAAACTAGAATATCCTGGAGATAGCTTATACCATTTGCTCTCCAAAAACAAAAGTGAAATGGAAAGAACTGGTTGGTTTCTGAATCTTTCAAGACCTAATTGGGTTTTTTTTCTTGTTTTTTGTTTTTTTGTTTTTGGCTTTATGATCTGTCTAGCTACTTTGAAAAGCAGAAAGCCGAATGGCAGACGGAGCCACAGGAACCTCCAATCCCGGAATCCTTGGCTGCAGCGGCAGCAGCTGCTCAACAGCTGCAGGTGGCCCGGAAACAGGATACAAGGCAGACAGCCACTTTCAGACAACAGCCACCTCCTATGAAGGTAAATAGGAACAAATTCAGTAGTTAAAAAGTTTTTGTATATAGATCACTGTTTTTCAGTCTTGGCCACTTGAGGATTTCTGGACTTCAACTTCCAGAATTCTCTGGCTAGCATGGTCCATACTACTTTGAGTAGCCCCAGAGGTGGGATTCTCCCGGTTCGGACCAGGATTATAGAACTGGTTGTTACGATTCTGTGCAGTTCGGACAACCGGCAAATTGTGCCCCTGGTTGGCCCCGCCCCTCTCCGCCCGCCCGCCCCTCCCAGTCAGTCCTTATTGCGCTGTGCAACATCGCGTGCATGCCCGACATCGCGGACTGCATTCTCCCCCTCCCAGTCACTCCTTAAGGTATTTCTCTTTTTCCCTCTCTCAACAATCAGCTGTTCCGATGATCAGCTGTGCAAGGATCCCCCTTGCTATCTTACTGCTTCACCCAGGAGGCTTCCCTGAGGCCCAGGAGTCCCAAAGACAGAGCGGGGAGGCACAGCACCAGGCTCTATTTTTTGCCTTCCTGGGCCCCAGGGAAGCCTTCTGGGAGCAAAACTGCCCCCCCTGAGGCTTCCCTGGGGCCCAGGAGACCCCCCAAAAAAAACTTGGGGGAGAGGGGTGCTGTCAAAAAAAAAGAAGCCACGCCCATCCAGTCACATGGCCACATCCACCTAGCCACGCCCACAGAACCAGTTGTTTAAAAATTTGAGTCCCACCGCTCAGTAGCCTCCGTTGAAAGAACACCAGTATAGATAACAACTAAAACTAGACATTGTGAGATGCACCCCCAGATCTGAGACTGCAACCAGCCATTTCAACTAGAGCAACTTTTTGTTTTCCTTGAACTTCAGGTTCTAAGACTTGGTCCAAAACTCTGGAGCAACAGACAGTGGAGCAATAGACAATGAGTTTCTCCCTCTTGGATCATGAATGTTCTGTGTTTCTTTTCTGCTCTCTGTGATCTTCTATTTTTCGTATTTTTCCTAATGGTCATACCTCTGAATTCTGGAACCATGATATAGGAACATTTTTCATAGACAGATTGTGGGGAGATGTAGTCCAGAGAAGGGAGGGGAGAGAGGGGAGGGGAAGCGAAGAGAGCTATATATGATCAAAAGACAGAAGGCAAGCCAGCTTATCTTATAAACAGCAATTCAGTCCAGGTGGTGAACAATCTGGGAAGAAATATTTTAGATCATTCAAAGAAATTCCACTAAAATGAATGCAGTATAAACTGGGATGGGAAATTTCTCCTGTAGGCTCTATCATTCTCTCTTTACTCAAAGGCCATCAAGAAAGAACATGTGGTCTGAACTCAAACAATTATGCTGCTATGCATGGAGCAAACCTCACCCTCATTAGCACTGATGATGTTACCTAGTTGGGTAATGAAACTTCTGCAACCAGACTCCACAGCTAAAGTTTCCTAATCAACTAATTCCCTAAATTAGATAGTTCTTTAATTAAGTACTACCCTAACCAAGGAATTTTCAAGGAAAAAATGTGGGCAGGGCAAACTATTGTATAAGAAGCAAATCCCACTCTCATTGGTGAGATTACCTAGTTGGGTAATGAAATGTATACAACCAAACAAGCTCAGAGAGCACCAAGGACTCCACATTAATGGTTTAGTCTGTAAATTCTGCTTAAGCAAACCATCACCCGGTGATTTGTATGACCTCAGTCTGGGTCAATCTTCCCAAGCTGAGCATCACTGCCATCCCACTGACAGGGTCTCTAAACTTGGTAACTTTAAGGCTTGTGGACTTTGTCCTAGAATTCCTCAGCCAACTGTGGTGGCTGGGGAATTCTGGGACTTGAAGTCTACAAGTCTTAAAGTTGCCAAGTTTGGAGAGTCCTGTCTAGGAATTCTGGTTCCTATAGTCCTGTTGGGAAAGACCAGTCCAGGCAAAGAGGGTCACCGTCTCTCCTACCTTCCCAATCCTAACAGATCAACTTTGTTCTTCTCTCTAGGCTTGTCTCTCCTGCCACCAACAGATCCACCGGAACGCCCCCATCTGTCCTCTCTGCAAAGCCAAAAGCCGGTCACGTAATCCTAAGAAACCCAAGAGGAAGCAAGATGAATGAAAACATCACAGAACCGTCTTGCCCAGCCACCCCAGCCCCAAACTGGAAGACCTTTTCCTCCTTTTGTGGTAGACCCATCCAGATGATCTACATTTGTTGGCATGTGAAACCTGAGTGTGACTTCAGCTGTTGTTCTGTTTAACGTGTCAGCACCCTTGTGCAGTCGGTTGAGTGATGCTGGTTTTCAGCAAATCTGGGAAGGGGCTGCTTTTGGTGGAGACATGAAGAGCAAACGGTGCAACCTTTGGACCTTGCACACCCACAGGGGCTATGCCATCCTGATGGCAAAGGACATTTGTGCAGAGAACACAATGGGTGGCTTGTCTCCTCTTTAACAGCACATGCTCAAGTAGCAATTGGACCTCAAGCCCCCTTTTTATTCAACTGATCAAAGGCCCATTGTTTCCATGACCTGTTTATTTTTTTATCAGGACAATATTTTTGTACTGAGACTCTACTTTTCCATTCAGTCTCCAATGCTGAAGAGTCTTTTCATACAGATGTCAAGATGTGTAATGTTTACTTAGTTTTGTGCTTTGGTATAACTAAGGAGGGTGCGATAGCTCAACGGTTAAAGAAGCTAAGCTTACAGCCTGGGTTTGAGACCCAAGCACCTCGTGATGGGGTGAGCTCCCGTTCCTTGCTCCAGCTCCTGCCCATCTAGAACTTCAAAAGCATGCAAGTGCAAGTCCATAAATAGATTCCACTTTGATGGGAAAGTAACAGTGTTTTGTGCACCTCTGGCATATTGTTCTGACCCAAACCTTGTTCCAAGGAAACAAACACGAAACAGAGGTAACAGAAAAACCTTTTAATGATTCTTTATGAATTCTGTTCCTTCACAGTTAAAAGGCTGTTTCAAATTAATTATCTCTGATAAGAACGAGCCTTGCCAAGGTGGTGCGAGGCTGCCAAGAATACTAGATAAAGTTACTAAGAAAGATTTCAAACACAAAGGGTCTCCAAACACCAACCAAGATATTCCGAATGTCCACAAGGCTTGAGTGCAAAAACTTCTTTGCTTCCTGCAAAGAACTCCGGTTTCTCAGCTGGCTTTTATTTCTTATGGGAGGGACCATCACCTTGCAGCCTTACTCCCGAGTCGCCCGTGCTGCTGCAGCTGCTCTTTCCTTCAAGCAGCCCTGCGCGCATGCACACTGGGCACAGGCTCCTCGGGGACCTCTTCCTCACTGCTGCCAGCCTCCAGAATCTCCAAAGTCAGCATTCCACTCCCTGATGGTCCTGGTCCCATCCCTGCGTCACACGCAGGCCCCTCATCTGAATCCTCGCTCTCCGAGACCTCAGCCGTCCGCACCTGCTGCCGGCAAACCACAACACATAAAGCCATACTGGTCACATGACCAAGGAAGTATCTGCAAACAATGCTGGCTTCCTCGGCTAAGAAACAGATGAGCATCGCCCACTAGAAGCAGACACGACGGGGGAAACCTTTACCGTTACCCAGAACTACTGAAGAACTGTGGATCATCAATTAAATGTTGGCTTGCTCCCTTTTTTAGTTCCCTGCTATACTCAGCATGGCTGCCTCCTATATACAAGAAGACCAAAATTGTTGCAGTTTTGAACCAGGGAAGGATCCAAATCTTCCCCAAAGTTACAGACCATTGCTCTTCTCTCTGTCACCTACAAACTTTTAGAAAGACCTATGCTAAACAGAATAGCCATAGCAGTAGAATCTGTAAATCCAGGTAGAACAAGCTGGATTTCGTCCCAATGCGGTTGCATCAATCAGGTCCTTGCACTAATTCCTTATCCGGAAGACAGATCCCAAAGGAAAATGAAAAAGGTCTCTGATTTTCTTGACCTTTCGACAGCCTACAATACTATCTGGAGAGAAGGACTTTTCCTCAAACTTACAATAGTACAACCTCAACTTACAATAATTCTTTTAATGACTGTTCAAAGTTACAACAGCACTGAAAAATGTGATTTTTCATAGTTACAACCTTTGGAGCATACCAATGATCATGTGATTAAAATTCAGATGCTTGGCAACTGGTTCATATTTATGACCTTTTCTGTGTCACAGGATCATGTGATGACCTTTTGTGATCTTCTGACAAACAAAGTCAATGGGGAAGCCAGATTCACTTAACAACCAGGTTACTAATTTATCAACTGCAGTGATTCACTTAACAACTATGGCAAGAAAAGTTGTAAAATGGGGAAAAATTCACTTAACAAATGTCTCACTTAACAACATAAATTTTGGGATCAATTGTGGTTGTAACTTGAGGACTACCTGTACTTTGTCATAACACCATTGCTTTGGCAAGATGTTGAATAAGAGGTTATTTTAAATTTTCACAGACTTCAGTAGAAGTAGATACCATAAGTTGAATAATGGACTTACCACAATATCAGTGCTATCCCCTGCATGTTTTAACTTGAAGATCCATGTTCTGCTGGAAACATTCTTGGAAATTTATTTATCCCAGTGATATCAATCTCACAGTCCAAGGAACCCATTTCAGTGATGCAGAGGACATCCCTTCTCAAGATCTTCAGAAATTGGATGATTGTTTTTATAAAATGGCACCTCCAACCAAGCCTAACAAAAACAGAAGCAGACACATTCCACCTCAGCAATAGGTACGCAAATTAGCAGCCTTCAGTGAAGTTCTGGAACTACAATAACTATGTGAAGTACCTAGGGATAACACTGGACAGATCACTAAGCGATTTGGCAACACCTGGAAAAAACAGTTGCAAAATTGAAAAGTGGCAACATTTTACTGAACAGATTGGGTGGAATATCTTGTGCACTGATGCTAACACCCTACAAACAACAGCCTTGGCTTTGGTGTATTCCACAGCTGACTATTGTGCCACACCCGAACACTCAATTTCCAACTCTGCCAGACAATGGGTTTCATCTCTGGCACGTTGCATCTCACCACTGTGCCCTGGTTACCAGCACTTAGCAATATCACACCACCCATCATTAGAAGACAACAAGCTCTCTTTAGGCTTTGGTCAAGGATGCTGAACAAGAAGGCCCTGCCTATTCACCAGGACAGTGTACAGCCCATCACAAGATTGAAATCCTGTAGGCCAGCTTGGAAAACAGTTTTTCACTTAACATCTACCTGTTTAACCCCAAGAATTCCCAAAGAGAGGAAGGGTCCAAGGTACCTACCTGTTGCCTGGCCATTAATGATTCCTCTATTGAACCACCTTGTTTAGACCTGTCTTACTTTGTCTGGTTGGAATTGAACAGAATTGGGCGTGATACAGGAAGAAGGGCCTCTGCCCTGTATTAGTGGGGATGGAAAGAGTGCGATGGTGGTATTGATACACAAACTATTAAACATATTGTGCAAGATTGCCCACAACATGCATTCTCTGGTTCCCTAGAAGATCTGCATGAAGCAATGACAGAATTGGATATCCAGTTATGACACCCCAGCCATACCCCATAGAAGTTTTGTATATAATTACATACATTGTATGTATATGTTTACCTCTCTTCTGTCAAGTTCTCATCATACATTAAATAAATAATAACTTGAAGAAGTGTATTCTCTTTCAGACTGAAGGAAATCCATACGCATAACAAGTAAGCCAGGATCCTCTGGAGCAGGAGTCTCCAGCCTTGGCAACTTTAAGACTTGTAGACTTCAACTCCCAGAATTCTTCAGTCTTAAAGTTGCCAAGGTTGGAGACTCATGTTCTAGATTCAGAAGGTTCTCTAGAGGCTATCAGATACCACCCTCCCAATGCAGGTCATCAAAGTGAAGCACCCCAGATGGATGACCCAGAGAAGGTAGCTGTCCTCTGGGTCATCCCCTCAGAGACATTGCTTCTCTTGATTGATGTATGATTGGAAGAGTTCCTAAGATTGAGTGGAAGCTTAAAACATCAGTATTGCCCAGTGAAATGGCACATCAACCCTTTGCTATTAAATGGTTGCCTATCCTTGGGTCTGAAGGTGGAGGAGATGCCGTTGCCCACCCTGAACCTCTGCAGGGACCTTCTCCACACAGTAGCCAATTGCTTTGCAGGAATACCTGGGCTAGGTACAGTCTGGCAGGTTTTCCCCCATACTGGAACAAATGGGAACTCTCTTGAAGTTGGCTTCTCTGCCTGAGCTGATCAAGTGGGTCCCCCCAATTGTTGGAGGTCAGGATTAAAGAAGGAGGCAGCCTATAGAATATATGGTGGGGATGCTGGACTAGGAGGAGGGAGGCCTAAGGGTGAATTTGGGCCAGGCTAGTTAGTGTCAGGCTCTTTAAGAGACAGCCCCTTGATTGCATTGTGCATCAACAGTAATAGCACTTAGACTTACATACTGCTAATGTCAGCATATTGCTCCTAACAACTGGGTCCTCATTTTACCGACCTCAGAAGGATGGAAGGCTGAATTAACCTTGAGCCCCATCAGGATCGAACTCTTTGCAGTGGGCAGTTAGCCTGCAATGCTGCATTCTAACTACTGTGCCCTCATGTTCTTTTTAGAGCACTTCAATAGCCTTTTATGAACTGGGCAAGGATATCCAAATGCAAGTGGTTCTTGCAACCATGAGGGACAAATACTAAGACATCCCCACCACAGGAATAAGGAAGGGTCTGCGTGTCCAATCTGAGATCTTAGGAGTAAAATGAAGGCCTAGCCAAGGAGCTGTTGCTGTGCACTGGAGCTTCTAACTTGAAAAGGTATCCTTGACTTGCTTCATTTTACAACCTTTCTTGCCACAGTTGTTAAGTGAATCACTGCAGTTGAATAAGTTGCAGCTGATAGTTAAATGAACCTGGTTTCCTCATTCCTTATCAGGAGATTGCAAAAAATGATCACATGACCTTGGGACACAGCAATGGTCATAAGTATGAACCCCTTGCCAAACATCTGAATTTTGATCACATGATCATGGGGATGCTTCAAAGGTACTTGTATGGTTGTGGTTTGGACCTCCATTTGTGACTGAAGTTTGTAGGCATGGATCTGTATTGCTTAAATTTTATCTCATTCATTTTAGCACCTTAAATGAAAAAAATGTTAAGTCATCTGATTCTTTCAAATACCTGAACATTCTTTAGATGCTTCTTTCCAGCTATGGAGGTCAAAATAATTACCTCAGTAATTTCCTCAGAAAGACCCAGGCTGAAATTTTGTTGCCCCTTTTAGGTGTCTGCTCAGGAAACATAAATTATTTGAAAAACCCCTTTTTTAATAAAAAAAAGGAAAAAAGGGGGGAAAAGTATGATCCTGTAGTGTAGAAAACCAAAAAATTACAATTCAATTCTGAAGCTCACAACTGAACCTTACAATTACAATTGAAATGTAATTTTTGTTTTTCTACAGGGTCATACTATTTTTCTTTATAGTTTTTAACAAATCATTCAGCTAGGTATGAAAATGTTCGCTTAGGAGTTCAGAAAATACAGGTAATCCTCGACTTACGATCATAATAGAGCCCAACATTTTTGTTGCTATACGAGACATTTGTTAAGTGAATTTTGCTCCATTTTACAACCTTTCCTGCCACAGTTCTCAAGTGAATCACTGCAGTTGTTAAATTAGTGACACAGTTGTTGAGTGATTCTGGCTTCCCCATTGAGTATTTTTTTTAAATCATTTTTCAAATCATCCATGTTTCTTGTTGAAGTCAACAAGAGCATATGGATATGATAGGGTCAATATCAATTGAAGAGTAGCCCTAAATGATATCTCTAGTTTAACGTTGGGAAAAAGGTAATATTTATGGAGCACATTAAATTCCAACAAGAAGACAATTCGTAAAAGGGGATTATATCAAT